ATGGATTTGAACCATCAGCCTTGAAATTTAAACCAACTTTGTGGTTCAACGCTTCTCCTACAGCACCATACAACTATGTTTTTTAAATTTCCAAATTTAAATTCCATTGTGCTGTGTAAACTAATTTTTAATCTATTTAACCAACCAGTAATTGGGAGTGATGTGTCAAAATGTTCCATTCTGATATTAGCTTTGTCAATTTCTCCTTATATTAACTTTGGTCTCTTCATATGTTGAGACTATTAGGTACAACAGAAGTTTAGAATTATAGTTTCTTCATTAATTGAATTATTTAGTGACTCTTTGGATCCTGGTATAAATCAGTAAGATAAGCACTGTACTGCTAACCACAGGGTCAAAGGTTCAAACCTACCAGCTGCTCCTTGGAAACCTTTTACAGGGTCACTATGAATCAGAAGTGACTTAGTGATACATAACAACAGCGACAGTTACTCTTTACCCTTAGTACTAGTTATTGATTAAAGTCTAATCTTTATGATTAGACTCTGTATGGAATATCTTTCTCCACATCACTGTGTTTTAAGTGTGTCTTTTAAACTGTGTATTGTAGGATTTTTAAAACTTTAATTTGACAGTCTCCACCTTTTAATGGGCAGCGAGTGGATTTTTAAAAATCCTAGTTGATATGCACTTTGTTGCCTTACAGTTGTGGAAAATTGGATGTTTTCTTGTCAAGTATTGCCTCTTCTCCATTCTCTGGAAACTTACCTTCTGGAGCTCTGACTAAACAAATTTTAGACCTTTCATTTTGTGTTTCATGTCTCTTCTCTTAATGTCTTCTTCATATTTTGTGTCCCTGTGTCTCCATGCTACATTCTGGGTAGTTTCTTCAGCTCTGTCTTTCAGTTCATTAATTCTCTTTACAACTGAGTCTAATATGATATGTCTGTACCTGTGCCAGGGCCTCAGTCCACTGTAACTCCCTTCAGAAGGCCCCAGTTTATTACCCTTACCTTGCCAGGGATGCAAGCTACATCTCAGATGTTTATATTTCCTTTCTTATTTCTCCTTTTTGCTTTGTTTGTTTGTTTGCTTGCTTGCTTGCTTGCTTGCTTGCTTGCTTTAATTGGGGCAAGGAAGATTAGTTCTGGAAAAACCTTTTTCTGCAATCTTAACAATGGAAAGTATCATTTATACAGCATCTAAATAGCAGGAAGTTTCTTCAGAAACTCTAATATGCCCTCCTAAAGAAAACAGAACCTTCCAGGCATGTTTTGTCCCCCGTAGAGCTTAATACTACGCTTTTCTAAATTCTTTTGTTCAATTCATATAACTATATTTTTAAAAATTACCTGACCCTTTTAACGAAATTTTATTGTATTTAAACCCAATGAATGTTGCAGTTTTTAAAATATACTTTATGATTTCTTATCATTTTGTTAATATGATTATATGGTAGTTATAGTTTTCCTGGTGTGGCACTATAGGATAAGCACTTAACTGCAAATCACAAAATCGATGATTCAAATCTACCAGCAGCTCCTCGGAAACCCTGCACAAGGTCTCTGTGAGTCAGAACCAACTCCAATGGCACATAACAACAGCAATAGTTTTCAGATACAGTTTTAGAGAAACACAAAAATGCAGTGAATTTATTTTGAAATTCCATCACTACAAAAATTGTACCCAGATTTTCTGTATGGTGTTTACCAAAATGAAATATTAAAGAGACCCAATATTCTTTTATTTAAATGGCTAGTCAATTTCTATTCGTCTTGAAACCGAAAATTTCAAGCAATAGGTTTTTAGAATGTGCCAATGAATAAGTGTTAGATTTTTATAGAGGACCTAGAGTCCATGAGACTAGAGACTATTATTTCATTGGTAGAATAACAAAAATTCTATTCAATTTCTTTATTGCTAAAAGAGATGGAAACCATAGCCCAGTTGATAACATAGTGACTTTCAAAGAGTAGACCTTCAATAAACATTTGTTAGATGAATGGATATAAGTAAAGTGATATATAAACATCAGTAGTGGAAATAGAAGGGAAAGAAGAGTACTTGAAAGTTTAAGAAAAGAATGAAGAAGGAGAAAGATATGTTGTGAATGAAAATTTTGGGGAAACATTGATCTAGTTTGTGCTTTAGTAAATTAGAATTTATGATTTTGCATATTTTGATGATCCATATTATTTGGTGGTGGCATTCAGATCTGGTTTTTAAAAGTACTTTGGTTTTACTCTAGAATTTGTGTCTCCTTTTGGTTTATTTGTTTGGCTGATTACTTTTTAAAATAATAAATAGATGTTGGTTTTACATATACAAGGTTGTATGTAAATTTTGAAATTTAGTTATAAACAAAGTTCTTGTGACCATAGGAGTCTATGATAGAAAAGTTGTTAGATGATTTCTGTATGTGACACTTGTAATCACTCTTAGATTTTATACTCATACCTCATTGTTTTTTGACGTGTAAGTGAAGCTAATCATTGTTCACTAGTAATATGGAAAGCTAACTTATGTTTTTATTTTACCTGTTCAATATTTATATATTATTATTTAACTTAAGATTTACGCTTTCTTTTATTTTAAGGCTTACTTCAATACTAAAAACTTATGGAAGTCCTTTGAAAACACCATCAGTAGTTTATAGACAAAGACTTTATGAACTATTGATTTTATTACCTCCTGAAACCTATGAAGGTATGTGCCTTAAACCAAAATATTTTACTATTTGTGGATAGAACAGTGCCGGAAAGCAGTTGTCACTCAATAAATGCTTGTTGAATAAATAAATTATATTATTGAATAAGAAATATATTCTTTAATGCCTTGATTTCAGGAGGTTTAGTGATTTTTGATCAATTGAAATCCACGTGTTCAACATTTTATAGTAAATCCTATATATATGTTGTTTTAAGTGCCGTTGAATTGGATCTGACTGTTAGCAATGCTATATAGGACTTCTGAGGAGCAGCTAGTGAGTTTGAACCATCAACTTTGCAGTTCAAACAACATTGTGGTCTTGTGTTTATCCTACGGACCCACACCAGAACTCCATATATATGGTAGGTTATGAGTCAGACCCAACTTGCTGGCACTTAACAACTGTTCCCGTGTAAGACATAAGTATCTTGAATTATGTAGAACTTTTTGTTGTTGTTGAGTGCCAGCAAGTCGGGTCTGACTCATAGTTACCCTGTATAATGTTTCTGAGAAGCAGTTAATACGTTTGAATTGCCAACCTTGTGGTTAGCAGTCCACTTATTTTACTTATCCTACTGCCTATCCTATAGTCGTTCCTCGTTCCTCAGAAACTCTATGCAGGGTTACTATGAATCAGAACCAGATCGATGGTTCTGACTCAAAAAGTTCTGAGTAATTCAAGAGACTTGTTTTAAGAGGTTAAAATTGAAAATGTGTTACATGGGAACTTTTTTTTTTATGTTTTGTGAATTATGTTTGTGTTTTTTTTTTTAACTCTTACAATTTTTAGTAAATCAAATTAAGTTAAATGATGCTTCAAGTGTATTTCTTGTGAAGTACTATATTTGCTTATATTGTTTGCAAATGAATATAGTATAATACATACCATATTTGTTCAAAAAATAAACTTTTATAAGATAATAACTTCCAAGTTAACTTCTTCTAACTTTTATCCTGGCCTTTATCATTATATCAGTGGCATTATTCACATTGGGAACATAGTGGCTCTGTAGAGTAAGCATAGGACTGCAAACCACTGGAGAAAGCTGAAACTTTCTATTCTCACAAACACTTAAAGACTTAGAAAACCTACATAGGGTTGCTGTAAGAACAGACTGCATGGCACTTAGCAACGACACGATTCACATAAACTCTCTTTCTGTTTCACAGATGTACCTAGAAAAGTATTTGGCATAAAATAAACATTTAGTATATACTTCTAAAGAATGTAACTAATTTCTCCTCAGTAAAAAAGAGACTGAAAATCTTTCCTCACCAAAAAAGCCACAAAGAGTGTTGGGGTAAGAACAAGGCTATAAGTGGAAAACTCAGGCACATATAATTCTGGAATCATATTAACACCACCAGTGTGTATAAGACTCCTGAGCTGAGGAATTAGCATAAAAATGAATGTTGGCATCTTCTGGCTTCCAGCAGAAGTAAATGCTAAATTGCTCCCTAAGGGCACCTAGGTAACAAGGAACAGAGCCTCATGTGCACAGAAAAACCAACCTCACTAAAAATTATCTTACAAGTAAACAAAAACTAAAAAAAAAAGCTTCTGTAAACTTCCATGCAGTCGTGACAGTACAACAAACTGATGTCCATATAGCTATTGTATGTTTTCTGTGTTGTATATAAATATATGATATTCATTGAAGTATCTTGATAATTTTGTTGTTGTTGTTGTTATGTGCCGTGGAGTCGGTTCCGACTCATACGACCCTGTACAGGGTTTCCGAGGCTGTAAATCTTTACGGGAGCAGAACGCCTCATCTTTCTCCCGTGGAACAACTGGTAGTTTCGAACTGCTGACCTTGTGATCTGCAGCCTGATTCGTAACCACTACGCTACCAGAGCTCTATTTACTAATATAGTAAATACAAACATTTTAATTCTTTTTTTGGTCTTTGCTTTTAAATGTTTAACACATACATAATTACATTAAAAAAAGAAAGAGACATCTAAAGACAGTTTTAATTTGGAAGATATAAAAGTTGTTCTGTGCCATCCAATGTGAAAGTCATCTAGTATTATCAAATGGAAATACTTCATATCTTGAATTTATAACGTAGTTTTCACACTTAACTAATTATAGGTCATTAGGGCTGTGTTTCAGTATTCCAGCTCTCTCCATTTCCAAAGGCATGATAGAAAGCTACTTCCTGATACCCTTGTGGTTGGGGGAGGCCATCTGACCAATTTGGGTCAGTGAATGATGAGTAAAAGGACATGTGTCATTATTTTTAGACTGTATACTTTTAGGTTGAGATGTATCAGGTCTCTTTTTTCCTTCTGTTATATTCACAGGCAATATCCTAGCTTGTCATCACTCCAGAAGTGCTGTCTTAGAGTGATGAGGATCACAAGGCCCATTTAAACTACTGTGGTGGTGGTAGTTGTGTGCCATGAAGTCAGGTTCGACTCATAGCAACCCTATGTAGGGTTTCCAAGACTGTATATCATTATGGGATTTACAGGATTACAGAAAGCCTCATCTTTCTCCTGAGGAATGGCTGGTAGTTTTGAACTATTGTTAAGATAAATATATATGTATCTAAATAAAGAATTTAACTAATTCATTATTGTCTTTCAGAACATGTAGGGGCAAATATTTCTATGTGCCAGATTCTGTGCTAGGTGTTATCTGTTTCTCATTACAATGAATTAGTTACATTTTCCTTACTTGACATAAAGCTTCAAGAGATTATGAAACCAAATTGAGAACACATATCCAACCTAAGAAAGGCATGACAACAGTGCTGTTAAACTGAAGGAATTGCCACCAATGTCATGAAACCAAATTTGTATTAATTGTTGAACAGAAAACTAATTTACTCTGTAAACTTTCCACGCAAACCATAAAAAAGTGTTTTTTTAAAAATGCATAATCTAGTAAATGGTAGAATCAAGATTAAAACATTTCAAGTAACCACCTAAAGCCCATGAACAGTCAAAATTTAGTGACAAGTTTTACTCATTTCTATTCTGTCTTTTAATATGAAACTTACCTTTAAAATATATAATAAAAAGCTTGTAGATAATTTCTGTATTCCATTGTTCCGGTAGCTGTTGTTACATTATAGCAAAAATAATGTCTCTAAGACTAAAAACAAAATGTTGTAATTGTTAAGTATAGCAGTAACTAGGAGCCCAAGCAGGACAGTGGGTTAAATATTGGGCTGGTAACTAAAATGTTTGTCAGTTCAAACCTACCAGCTGCTACCTGGAAGAAATACGAGGCAGTCTGATTCCATAAATAGATACAGGGTTAGTTTTCCACGCATGCGTATTATGGATCTGAGTCCACCAGCTTGAGGTCTCGAGGTCTCTGGAGCCAGCTAAGCCACTACCTCTGTCACGGTGGCCCTTTCCAAAGCAGCTGACTCAAGACTCAAACAGTTCCATCGGTACTTTTAAAAGTCACTTAGCTGCAACCCAAAAAAATCCAGAAATAGAGCTACTTCGCCTAGAATTGGCAGAAATGAAAGAGAAATAAGAAGCTGTTGTAGAAGAAAATTGAAAGTTCCCTCAGTTTGAACCACCTCAAAAGAAGTGTGCGAAATAGGATGTTTATCTGTTGAAAAAGACATTGAAAAATGGTTTTGTATGACTTGCATAGTCTGTATAGTATATAATCTTTTCTGAACAGATGCTATAAAACTTTTAATATGTTAAATTCATGTATCACTCCATGTTACAAACATTTAGAATTGTCAATATAACTTTCTTTGGCAGAATCCAAAGTGAATCCTGAAAAAAACTCTGTATATAGCCATTGAAATAGTATTCATTACCTTAAAAGACATTCTTTTGGCCAGGAATGATGGTACTGGTTGTATTTTAACCAGGGGAGCTTAGTACGGAGCTGTTACTTGGCTTAGTTTGGA